CGATATGTATCGAGACGACACCGATGATTAATGTATCTTGGTCAGTGTTCGAAACTCGGACGCGTAGCTTGACTTTAAAATTGTAATAGGTTTACGTAATAAAAATATCCTTCTCCATTTTTATATTTAACACTCTACTATAATCACGATTATAAATGCAAAAGTTAAAAAGATATTAAGTTTTATTTCGTGTTAAAAAAATTTGAATACACGTAAATACATCAAACGTGTCTGGATGACGTTAACTTAGAAAAACTTCATTTTGTATTCATTTTTATGCTTATTCGTTACACTGTGCGATAATATGTTACAAAAGGGAAAAGGATAGTGTTTCGTGTAATCAAGTTCACGATGATGGAACCGAATCGGAAATCAACCGATTCGCGTAATCTCGAGGTGTTCACGGACAACGCTGTAATTACTGATTTACATAATGACTGTACGAACCGCGAACCAGCTCGGCTTCATTAGCCGGTGGTAATAAAACTGAAGATAATTGGCGCACTTTTTGGCCGTAAAAATCTTTAATTGGAATTTCAGTACGAATGAAACAGCGGACTAGTAAATGGCATTTCTTAAAATGGAACCGTGTCTCAAACACACGATAAGGAATATCAGTCTGTATGAATAAAATTTTCGCAAGTATAACTTAAATGAAATCATTAATTATTTCTTGTTATTCATGTGAACAAAGACATGACAGTATTTTATTCATTTTATAATTTTATAAATGTACTTTCAAATTACATGCTTGTTCCAAGAACTTATAACTCAATCACCCGTCGCACTATCAGCGGTTGCCTTCCGTTCTCAGCGGCAGTCGTGCACCCTCTAACTCTCTCACACCTGTCCACGAGCTTGTCCAACGTAACCAATATTCGCATAAATTGTGCGGGCTCATTGCGTGCCGGGCGCGACTGTCGCCAGTGGCAGGGAACACGTGTAAAATCGAGCCGGAGAATGCGTGTACCGGCGGCGTGTTCGCGTCCTCGTGCACCGTCGACCCCCCACGGACGCTTACAAATCAAAAATTAGATTCCACCCAGAGCCTCGGCGACGGAAGGCCAGGCGAGAAAAAACTCATTTATACGCGGCACCGATAAATGGCCGGCCGAAACCCGACTACTACCTGTCGAACCGCCGTAATTCGACCTCCCCACTGGGACCGAGACTCTCGGGAAAAATGTTCTGAACTGGAAATTTCTCAGGTACCGTTGATAAACGGAAATTACGGGGCACTCGGTGGTAATATTAATAGATCCGTTCAGTGATACTCTCACTGTTTTGGTATTGCTCATGCAAACACATTACCATTTATGCAAATTGTCGTATTTCTAAAACCCTGCATTCCGTATTAATTTATTATATAATTATACTTATTTATCTGTTGTCAAATTTTATTATACCTTCCCTTTATATGTAACACTAGAAAGACTGAAACTTAGTATACCTATATTGCCCAAAGCAGTAAAAATGACTGCATTGTGAA